TGACGACTCTCCATATCTACAACTGTTGCAATTCGCAACCTACCTCTACCTCTACCATTATCATTATATATAATTCTCTATAATTTATATATTTATTATGATTTATTATATAATCCACCTCATTCTATGTTCATCTTCCCCCAGAGTCTTTGAGACTTAAGTCTCTATTGCTTGCCTAAGGTGGTTTGAGTGATAGTGATTTGATAATTATGTAAACTTAGATATGCTGGGTCCAGCACCATTAAGTTTGATTTTGATATTTCATGACTATTGATTGCCTAATGGCACCACCACCTCTACCTCAACAAGTTTAAGCATTGCTATAGCATCATTGGACCCAGCTATAGCTGTTGTGAAGTGAACTTCTATCATTTGAGAGAGAACAAGCTTGTTCTCAAGTGTTTCAAGTTTCATGGCCTTGGTCGGTCAACCGAACTTGAGAGCCAAAATTCGAACTTAAGAGCCAGGTCTGGCCTGACCCCATGGGTCGACCACAACTTCATATCCTCTCACATCCAGGACCTCTAGTGTTTTGATTCACTCATTCGAGCTCATAAGCAATCAAATGGTATGGGTATGGTAGGGGGTGCATGGGTTTGAAAATTTTCGAAGTCTAAAAATCAGGACTATCTAGTCTGAAATATGTACAACTATCATATCACTCATATATGGATTATGGTCTAAAATCAGACATTAGTTTTCAAACATATCACCTTCCACACCCAGGTGGACCTTCTTATCTCTTTAGATATGTTGCATATGGTCTATCTAGATATTCTGTAGAGTTTGACATCAACGCCATTGGTGGTTGTCGACATAGTGGTCTTGGAGTACCCCTAGGAGGACCACCTTGGCTCTCAGGTTCGCCTCAAAGTCTCAGTTTTGGCTCTCAAGTTCGGGGGGGTCTAGACCCAAAGACTAACTTTGTCATCTTTGAGAGCTACGATCTCCTATTACATGCTAATGGTGGTAGACCATGGGACAGTAGAAATGATCAATTACAGATCTCAACTCTTAGACATGGGGGAGGTAGGTGGACTGAAAGTCCAGAAAATTTTGACAAAATTTGACTAATGGTGTTCGACGAACTTAAGAGCCACATTGGGCTAGAGCCTCACTATATCTCCAGTAACTTTGATTAAGAGACCCATATCAACTTTGTTGATGAAATACTAGCACTAGCTATAGCCAACAGTTGATGGATTTGGTTGATGCATCAATTCCCTATAGATTACCCTAGGTCTAGCTGATAATTATAGAATTTAAGATTTTGTTGAATTAGCTGGGTTGAGAGAAAATTTTTAGAAAAATTTTAATTAAAATAATTTATTTATCAATAACCTTAGTCTAATCAAACTTTTCATTTTTATTTACACAACCCACCAGTGCCACTAAGAGCACTGAGTGAGCTGGTGAGATCAAGCCAATTATAAATATAAAAAAAATAAAAAAAATTAATTTCCTCAATCTACCACAGATATGAGAATTTGGCTTGATCTCGATACTTACTTTAATTTTTAGAGTAATTTATAGTATGTCCCACCTATGTCTATGCCTCAAACTGTTGGCTCCATCTATGATTTCGAAATAATTTAGATATCCCATTTAGCCTCCACCATCCATTTTATTTCCACCATCCATTTATTTCACCATCCATTTCCACCACCTTGCCTGGTTCACCATTCATTCTGCTGTAGCTCCACCTATATAAGTGGATCAATTATAATTAATTTCTCTTACAAAATCCATTCTCTCTTCCCAAGGCACAGATGCAGCGGGTGGGGTTGCTTGCCAAAGCAATCTATCGTAAGGCCAATGCACAACCTTGGGAGGGGCGTCTCTTTGCTCAAGGCACAGATGCAGCGGGTGGGGTTGCCTAAAAAGCAACCTATCGTAAGGCC